AATATTTATAATAAATATTTATTAATATTCATTTTTTTTAATGTTATATGTAGCTATTTTATACATATTTTATATAAAGCTTTATTCGAATTAGTATTAAAATATAGACTAAATATGTAATATTTATAATAAATATAAATAAATCTTTTTAATAAATATTTTTATTTACTTGAATTATATATAAAATGTCTCATTAAGTATTTTCATAGCATTTATTATAACATTTACAATAAATATTTTATAATATTTGTAATAAATGTTTATGATCTGTACGATCTAAGATCATAAAAATATTTACAAAATATTTAAAATAAATCTTATAAATATTCATAAATATTTTGTAAATATTTTATACTGTCTGGGATGATTGTTGCATTACTTTCTTTGCACAAAATCGAATTAATATGTTCAATTTCCGTTGAGAATGACTTGAAATAAGTCGAAACGCATATGGATACGTATTAAAATATTGTTTTATTAGAAATAGACTTTTAAATCTTTTTATTATTATATTTGCACACAATGTATCGCGCTGACTCCTACTTTTTTATATATTATAATTCTTGTCTATAATTTGTTATTAATTACAATTACGCATCAGATATTACAATTTTAGATCAGATTACAATCAGATTTACAATTTTTTAAAACGCATATACACGGTATCGACGAGATTGAAATCTAAGATCTCTGAGGTGGTAACATATTAACGTTGAGCTACAACGCATGTCTGAACACTTTAGCATTCAATAATTGTTATTCGAGCCGTCCTTGTGTCTCACGCGAATAAATGTATTGATGATTGCAAGCAGATGCGTAATCAAAATAAAATAATTTCTATTTGCCTATAAATCAAATGCATATGATCCATGTAATATTGAAACATTACATACTACATATAGATAAATAATTTATACAATTATACAATTTAAAAAATTGTTAGATCAAATAGTTTAATCAGTTACAAGATATATTCTTATTAATTGTAATGAAATTGACTACATTGTTAGATAATTGTATATTTCAATTATATTATATATCACCCAAATGTATTGTTATATAATTTGTATATATAATTTTTACTTGTTTATAAATTATACGTTGATCATAAATTATATAAAAAATTGTTAGATAAAATAAATCTTGTTTTAATTAACTTGAAGAGATATTTAATTGTATTAACCGTAACATGCCCGTGCGAAATTGACTACATTGATTTGTATATTAATTCATTTTATACAATTAAACAAATAACAGACTTAATTTAATTGATTAAACTAAATTCAATTGCATAACAAAAGACTTTTTTATTTCATGTGCAATTAAAATAATAAAATACTTATTTAATATGACTATATATATATACATATATGATTGATATAAGAAAATTTCCCACCTGCTACTATAATATAATTGAGGTAAGTACTTCGGTTATTGAAGAATATATGACATTATAAACAACAATAAATAAAGGACATTGTAAGAGTCAAACACATTTTAAATTGTAACATAATTAAAAAAAATAAATTACAAATAAAGAAAAGTAAAAATAAAAAATACAGTTTAAATTCAAATATAAAACATTACAAGTTTCGGCTATCGGATTGAGTCCTCTTCAGACATTAACTTATCACAAAAATCGCTGTATAAAATTAGTTATCGAAAATGCCAGCATATTCCTTATAATAACAGCTCGAGTGAGTCTTGATGTAGAACTCGACATTATTCACATATGATTGAACAGTCAAATGTGTTTCATATCTCTTGGAAAAAGATTTAGTCGATAAAAAAGATAAAAAAGTCTTCTTACGAAATAATAAACACAATCAAAGTAACATACCGGAATTCTAACAAATAATTAAACCTCACCAAAAGCCATGTGTAAATTATTCAAACAAGTATGTCTATATAAGTATAAAAACCAATTGAAATGTACAGAGTTTAATGGAACACAGATGTGTACATTATAATCGACATACAAGACTTTTTTATCTTTTTTATCGACTAAATCTTTTTCCAAGAGATATGGAACACATTTGACTGTTCAATCGTATGATGAATAATGTCGAGTTCTACATCAAGACTCATTCGAGCTGTTATTATAAGGAATATACTGGCATTTTCGATAACTAATTTTATACAGCGATTTTTGTGATAAGTTAATGTCTGAAGAGGGCTCAATCCGATAGCCGAAACTTGTAATGTTTTATATTTTAATTTAAACTGTGTTTGTTTATTTTTACTTTTCTTATTTGTAATTTATTCTTTTTAATTGTGTTACAATTTAAAATGTGTTTGACTCTTACTTTGTCCTTTATTTATTGTTATTTATTTTGTATATAAAGAGTCCTTCTATCTGTTAAATATGACATTATGTTTGTTTCATTAAGGGGAGTATATTACGAAGAAATTCGACAGGAATAAAAAGGCAGGTCAAAAAGGCTAATTTTATCGATAATACAGGCGTTTCCTTCAGCATAATACTGTTATTGTGAATCAACAAAATTATTTTCAATTAGACTGATGCTATTGATTCAACAGCATTTTTTCTCAATATAGAATTAGGCTTAGATACCTAATATGAACGATTAATTAGTTAGAAACTGTTTGCGTGCGATATTGATATATTATAGTAGTGTGTACTGTAATAATGTGTCAATCACATGTAAATCATATGTGTGTAAGTTTTACTGAATTGATAAAATAGACGATTTACATGTCATTAACATGTTAATATACTGCTGCATAAATATCTCACGCATAGATACATAAATTTTCGTATGACGATAGCGTTTTAATTAGATGTCTATAAGTCCAATTCTATAAAATTTTATGTGGTTTTTTCGTACAAACTACCCAGGTGGCACACAATATTTATAAAATATTTACAAAATATTTATGAATATTTATAAGATTTATTTTTAATATTTTGCAAATATTTTTGTAGTTTTAGATTGCACAAATCATAAACATTTATTA